TACACCAATAAAGCATCAATGAAGAAACAGACTAGAGAGCGACGGAAAGGCAATGTGGGGGTAACTAAATCCTACATAGTTCAAGACTCAAAACGGGCATCCAAGACAGAAAGATGTTTCTTTGCCAGCAGCAGCACAAAGGATTCGCTAACGCTCTCTACCTTTCCCATCAGCTTATCCGCTACAGTACGTCAAGGTCATGACTGCAACACGGCAGGAGGTCATGACGAATTATGAATGTGAAATAATGCCCGGTGTCAGCACAACGGAAGAGGCGGACACTCTTATGATTTATCATGCTGTAGAAGTTGCGAGCAACGGGATTAAGGTCCACATATATTCTCAAGACACAGATGTGCTGCTTTTGGCTCTACGAAGAACGCCACTACTTGGCAACCATTCTGCGCTAATCATGGGGACAAGCGAAAGACGACGAAAAGTCTTCCTACAGCCTACAGCTTGGACGGAGAAATCAGCAGCTTTGATAAACTGGCATGCTCTCACAGGCTGTGATACAACAGGACATATCCAAGGAAGGAAAGAAGGGATGCTTTGCAACTTTCCTGAATGTAAGCCCCGCCATCCTGATAGCACTAGCTGGTCTTGGCGAAGGAGATGAACCGTCCGAAAAAGTTATACATGGCTGTGAAGAGTTCCTTTTTTCTCTTTCCTGTCCAAGTGGAGTCCACATTGGGCAAGCAAATATGCTCAGATGGTTTTTGTTCAAGCAACTCAAAGATGAACAAGGAGTTGACAACTGCCACCGACTCAGGGAGCATGGATTCAACATATACGCCCGTGCCCATGTCCAGGCTAATATCTGGCACCAGGATATGGTATTGAACCAACTTCTCTGGACCTCTGACCTTGGGGTGGCAAAACCTAGACAAAAAGCTACTGACAGTTCTTTCTCAGGTTGCACCAGCCCCAGTCTCGGCTCTGCAGCTCGTCAGGTGTAACTGTGAGAAATCAAAGTGTTCGCGAAGGTGCTCATGCAGAGGAAACAATGTGGTCTGTACCGAACTTTGCAAATGTGGTGGGAAAGGCGACAGCTGTATGAACATTACACCACAATGATTGGCGAAGATCTAGAAGATGATTGAAGCAATGAAAACTAGTAACTCCTGATTCATACATGTAGCATTGTGTCGTACCTTTAAAAAAAATATCCATTTTCAACTTTATATTGAATTACATCTTCTACATTACTTCTCTCAAGTGTTTTGGAGGATGATAAAGAGTGTTCCAATCATAAATACGTTGTTATTATTGGAATCCTCATATGCCAACTGAAAACATATGGTTAGACACCAACAAATCTTCCAATGTCCATTTTGTACAAAATATGACATTTTACGTAGAAAAAGCCTGAAATATGGTGGCCATCTTGGATTTTTGCTATTTTGGAGTATTTCGAGTGCTCTAATTTTGTTTCCAATGAATCTTTGATTCCTTTATATAAGTTTAAATAAAATAGAATAAATATTGTATGACATTTGAATGAATAGTTATGGTTAATTGGCAATTATTAAAAAAAAAAGATTTTCCGTGATGGCCATTTTGAAATTCAAAATGGAGGCCCTAAATGTTAATGGAAAAACTGGCACCCATTTTTTTCTTAATCAGTGAAGTTTCTAGATGTGTTTAGACATGAGTGCCAAGAATCTACCCAAAAAAATGACAAATCTGGAAAATATTACATAAGCCCATAGACTAGTATCCTCACGCCGTGACCGCCATCTCTCTCGCGAGATCTGCCACACTGACCTATAATTTACGTAAATCTCATTCTAACAAACGATACTACTATCTTTTGCATTCGTCTCATAGAATTTTCGAAGATATGCAGCGGTACGATAGAAGACATACATTTACCAATTGCCAGCTGCAGTTGCATCAGTTGCATCAGTTGCATCAGTTGCATCAGTTGCAGTTGTTGTCGACAGCTACATGCATTATTACGCGTAATATATTAAATTATGATAGGAATCTATCATTACATGCTACTACTGTTGCCGCATATGCTGCTCTATACTACGCTACTGATACCGCCGCCGCCGCTGCTGCTACTGCCGCCGCTGCTTCTGCCGCGCTTACCACTACTATGCAGCAATGAGCTACATATAACAATATATACAATATATACAAATATATACAATATACAATAATATACAAATATATTATATAAATAGATACAATATACAATATATATAAATATATACAATATATATAAATATATACAATATACAATATATACATATATACAATATAGCTACATATATGTTATATGTAGCTCCTTGCTATGCAGATCACATCAGATCATGCAGCACGGTTGACATTTTCGCTTGATTTATGATACGTTTACCAAAGAAAAGACTGTCGCCACCGTCATAAAGTTATTAGGCTAATCCATTTATATCCAACTACATTGACCGTCGGTTCTCTGTTTTCCAGCTGCCGCATGTTACCATGCGTTTTATGCGTTTGTTCGTGTGCGCGGCTGTGCGCGTGTGCGCGTGCGTTCGTCGGCGTTGCGTGGTGTATGTCCTCAATTTGATGATGATATGCCTGCAATGAGAAAATAGCTACTTGTTTTCTTGTGTGCTGTATATTTGATATGTGTGTGTCGTGGTGTGTGTGTGTGTGTGTTGTGTGTGTGTGTGTGTGCTGTGTGTGTGTGTGTGGGCATATAATTTTTTTAAAGAGGCACACGCATTTTAATGTTTTATATCTAACTACTCGTTAATACTGTGCAATAATTCATCAATACATTTAAGGTATAACTTTAATTAAAATATATTGTTTTGCAGTATATTCTACCAACGACACAGCATTTTATTACATCGTTTTATTTGTGAGGAAGTTAGATGTCGCGAAACTAGGGCCCGCTAGAAATAGTAAAGAAAGCGTATGCCGAGCGATAGTCAGATGATTGATGAATAGATTCCATCAATCACATTAAATTGGTTGTTTAGCTCACCGTATAAAGTGAGTATGGCAAGAGCATTTGTCTAAACGCGAGTGACTTGTGGCGTTCATATTCGCTAAATAGGGCCTATCTCTCCCCCCCCCTTCTCTCTCTCTCCTCCAAACACAGACACGGGTGCACTCTTTCTATGCGCGCCCACAAAGACAAATCTTTCTTCATTTGATTTTCTTATGTATTAGCGAATCAACACGTTAAACATATATATATATATATATATATATATATTATATATATATATATATATATTATATATATATATATATATATATATATATATATATATATATATAACAACCAAAAACCAAAGCCCAACGATCATTACAGGTCACGGTAGTATTACACTGTGTAAGCAAGCAATGTTTACAATTGGTGTTTTAATTGATCAGGGCTGAATGAAATTATATATCATGATCGTCAGGCTTAGACAAGCTATATGTGCAGGCATATTGTGTTCTGAGGCCGTGTAAAATAAAAGCAAACGGTAAATTGTTCAATAGATGAATCTCAGTTCAATACTTCACTACATTCATTGTTGACAGAATGACAGTGATAACAACACGCAAACAATTTCTTTACTTTGTTCGCTTTTACAAAGCCATATTAGACATATCCGTGCTACTTAATAACATATAGAGTATGAGTGCAAAACAATGCAGCATCAGTCGAATTTCTGTTATCATTCATGTATTCCGAACAATATTACATCAGCTTATCAAACAATCAGGATTACAACAAATAAGTCGCGTACCGGTTGCCCGGCCGGCGGGTGACAGTAATTAGCCGCGAGAGGGAGGTTTGGGGTCACCCTCTCCCGTATATTGGGGGCGGCCACTCACTTCTCCTGCTCCGGCAGGTTAATATAAAACTTATTTGACCGTAGTTTTGGGCCCTCACTAGCCTGCTTTACTTATCTGCGTGATTGGAATTGACTACTTTAGGTTTTGGTGACTAGCAAGTAGAATGTGCGCACGTTAAAGTGAAAAGTCGCGGATTGTGACATCCACCACCTAAGTTAGCATTCTCCCTCCCTACATAGGAGCATCTAACGCGCGTTCTGAAATTATTCAGTGAGTCTATTATCAGTTAATTTAAAAAAAAATTAAGATAATAGTGTAGGGCCTATATAAAGAAAAGTTTTGTTTTGCTTTTTGTTATTGTTAATTCATTGGACCTATTGTTTTACTTCTGGTTCTTCAGACATCTTATCGAGAAAAATGGGGCCATGCATTAAAATGTTTTTCTTCCATATTATGAGGATTTTGTGACGAGTCCTCCAATACAACTCTGCTATTTAATGATCAAAGTTCTCGAATTTTTTGTTTTGGCATGAGACTTTAACATAGGATGGCTTGTTGCAAGTTGGAAAGTGGTGCATATAAGGAAGTCCTCTGTTCTGTCTCTGTAACGTGCTTTGGCATACCACCAAGAGCAATTACCAGATATTATTAGCTCTTAATACCATGAATGTGCAACAGTAAATAGTGATATGACTGGGTTGCAGCCGATCTTTATGTTTATGTGCGATATCAACAAGGCAGACACTTGAAGGAAAAAACGCGAGAAGAAGAGCCACACGCCACGAACCGACTGAGGTGCTGTTTGACTTGCTCATGCCAAGTTGATGATACTTCCACATGCCATTCGGGTATCGACGGTGTACTAACAGGTGGACATGGTCTGGAATGGAATCCAAGGCGGTGAGGATGACCCATTTTTTTCTGATAAATATATGCCTGCAGAACAATAAAAACAATACTAAAAAGTATGGAATGGCTCATTATAAAGCCCTACACTATAAGTCAAAATCAACGCGTAAACTACGGGAGTATCCGGGGGGGGGCGCGGCGCGGCAAAACTTCAGCCACAAACTACAACACTGCCAAGACAATAGTAGTTTTGGACTGAGTATATTTATAAGGAAGGATGATCGAAGCTCAAAGGAGCTCATGCTGATTAAATAACACAGGATTCGGTACGAGTAGACAGGCACGCAGCTGTGGCTCCTGCTCACCACGGTTACTTGAGCAGTGAGGGCCTCCGCACGTAAAGTACCTTCGTCGACGCATCATCAACAAGAACGTATCCCAACTCTTGTTGATGCGGCTTCTCAACGTATCGGCGATACAGGTACGAGGAGATGTATAGGAGCACGATGACTCCCAAGATGGTCGCAAAGATGGCGACGTACATTAGCGGGTTGTCTTCCGGATTCGCGACATACTGCGGCTCTTTGGCTCCCATCGGCACTGGTCGCTGACTTACTGACGCTGTCCTGATCGCTGGCTAACTGACGCTGTCCTGGTCGCTGACTTACTGACGCTGTCCTGGTCGCTGACTTACTGATGCTGTCCTGGTCGCTGGCTTACTGACGCTGTCCTGGTCGCTGGCTTACTGACGCTGTCCTGGTCGCTGGCTTACTGACGCTGTCCTGGTCGCTGGCTATCTCTGCATGGAACACCTGATGATGTCTGGAATGACGGGTTTGAGAATAATTGGCATTTTTAACGGAATCTGAACACATGCATTCATAGAATATTGTGAACAAACAACAAAGCTAATTATGACAAATATTGCACCTAAAGCGATATTAAACGCATGAGAAAAAAATCCCGTTTAGCAAGAAAAAGAGAGACAGAGCAAGGATGTGAAGAAAGAGGAGCGGCTGCCAAAAAAAGAAATGGAGACGGCAGTAAAAATTTAACATATATATAGATTCATAGTGAGAAAATCCTTATTGCACAGAGATAACAGATAGATGGTTCCAGTTACCTCGGCAAGTTGTCAGTCAGATCTCTTATTGAGTGACTCGCCTGTTCAAGTCTATACCGCCCACACAAAATCACACCTTATTCATAAATAACTTCCACCTAACGATGGTCCTCCCTTAGCACTCCAGCTAGATGCCGACAAATAAACGACCACACTAACGACAACAGGTTACTGCCCTGCAAGGTCGTTTACAAACGGATGTGTTTATTGCTTACTAAGTTAGCAAGCAATAAACACGTGTCGTTGGACCCAGGCACACGTGAAATCGGTGTACGTGCTTATGATTATCTGACGCCAGTTGCACACGTGCACAGTCCAGTCGTGTCGCAGCTCTACCTTCAAAGCTACTAGTTGACGAGCAACAAACAAGTTACAGCCATGGGGGCAAATACTAATGGATACGTCCACATTCTGCATTCGAGTAAACAGCTGATAGTTTCTGGTAACGTCAACACCGCACGGGTGCAAATAAACATTTACCGTGAAGATTCCGGATAGTAAATAAAGGTGTGAAAACAAGCTCAATCGAATCAAGTCGTGCAAATACTTTTGTTTACATTATCCATCATCTATTTCATAATATTTTCGGATAACTGTAGCCTAGTGTTAACGTTCTGGTACAAATGGTCATAGCTGGCCCTGCTGAACTGCAAACAGTATTTGCTATCATATCAGCAGTGAGTTATGCAAAATGGGAGCATTCTGAAAATAATGTGCAAGAGGGGCAGCTGTGCATATGTAATGTAATGCACTCATATTTCACGCATTAAAAATTAAAAATCGGTCAATTGCGTTAAGTGCACAAATGCTCAAAGTGTCACATATCATATACTACGGCACAGTGACCTTGTGCGTTATCCTTACCCATGCAGATAAGAAGGCACTCCTAATTCTCCTTGACGATGGTGCTCCAGGATCCACCACAGTGTGACAATGTCTTCTCTGTCTGTTTGTACTGCAGACCCGGTGACAACAGTTCCAGCTGCTCCATTTGTGAAAGCGATCCAAACGATCTCGGTCGTCGCAACTTTAAGAGAGTCTGTACGTCGACAGAGGCGCCATTTGGGTGTCTCTTCGCCATATTAGGTCGGCAGACGCCAATCGCTTTTCCTTTATAACGTCCAAGAGATGGCACTGTTTTAAGCTGAGTGGTCGGCTGCACCGCGACTTTCACGTTTACTTGTCCCGAGACAATTTTTGCAGATGTCTTGGTTTTATTCGATTTTCTCTTCAATCTCGCTTCGCCGCATGACGTCTTCTGGGATCTGACAGAAGCTCTTAATGTTTCGTTGCTAATTGACGTGGAAGTTTTCGGTTTGCCACTAGCTTTCGTGCAACTTTCCTCCATCCCACTCACAAGCAAAGAAATTTTCTCATTGGATTTCATCTTCTTGATAGAATCATCATAACCCTTGTTATGTTTTTGTGTGCACAGCTTCCTCTTACGTGACATTGTATGCACGTGTCCAGCCATGGCTTGCTTCATCGTCTCTTTTCTATTCTTCAGGTTTCTGTTTACAAAAATTTTAAACAACTGATACTTTCAAATCTACAGGTCCTTAGTGAATTTTATATTCCACACATAGAAGCAATAACAATGGCAATTATGTAACGAGCATGAGTCATAACTACACTGTGCATGTAGTAATACCACGAGTAAATAATCTCTTTAAAATTTTTCAATCATTTGTAATCCGTGCAAATGTAAGCATAAAATTCATTGCCTCTGGTATATCATATTATCAATATTCGATTTTTGTTATGAATGTTAAAGTTAAATGTGTTACAGACATTACATATATTCACAAAACATAATATATACACATGAATTCACAATTTTTGATTTTTTTATGGTTGCATACATCCAAAGCTTGCTTTAGTAATAGTTTCATGATCTTCCCCTGAAACAGGAATTACTGGTGAAACTGTTGATAAGAAATTGTAATAGATGTTACAAGACTAGAGTCACAAGTAAAGGCCTTACCCAAATAACCTTCAGTTGTAGCAATCATGGAGGACCTATTTACACACTTTATTTTGACTAAAGTCTGAAGATCTGCATGTTAACCAGTAGGCCACAAATTCTCCCCTGTAACAGTGTACAACTCACCGTTTTAAGTAAACCAGTGGCCTCTTGTGAGCTTTTGGTGGCTGCACATGACAGTTCTTTGACTTTAATGGTAGAATTTGCTGGAGCAAAACATCAATACGAGGACTGACTGACACTCGCTTTCCACAACATTTATTTTTTCTTCTCCAGAACATAAAGCTTGTGTGAGATTTTTCTGTAAAATAAAAACAATATTCCGTTATTTAATATGTTATCACAGCCCTCGACACTAACAGTTGTGCGACTGCCCGGGACAAGTGAAAGTCTATGTCGGGCAAGTTATTCTCATGGCTAGTTGCCCGATCGAACAACTGAAAAATGTCTAGTTGTGTAATATTCCTAACATCGCTTGAGCCTGGGGCTATCGCACGACATTCTTACGTTCAGGCCGTCATACCCGTGTTAAACATGTCTGTGGCTTTGCACATCGTGGCTGCATACGTGCCTGCTGGCTGGGGCGGCATTGATTAAAGTATGGGGGAGGGCACGATTGTTTCAGTCACGTGGAGCATGTTCATTACCGAATATGTAAGGGGTGGGCATCGCTGGTATGAGAGAGCGACAGCAAAACTCTTTCCTGGAATTGAGGAAAAAGCTGCAATCGGCAATGACACACGAGTGTGCCGGCAAGCAGAAATAAACGTGCGTATTTCATTACGATTTTCCATGTATATACTGTAATATGATATGCACTGAACCAACTAAATTTTAGACAAGTAAAATAAAAATTCGGACAAGTAAAAATTCCTTCTTGCTGCCCGACAGGACAACCAGACCTGAAAATAAGCATTAAGGCCAGTATCATTTTTCAAACTTTTTCTTGGAACATTATACCCCAAGGATGTCGAGGCTGAAGGCATTCTATTAGTACAATTCTTAGGATTTTATCAAAAAACTGGCCATAAAGCACGTAACATACCCGATATTGTTTAACACGTTTATTGATATATTTCACTGTTACACATGCCCCCACCTATGACACAGTGAGAATTACATGCAATTCTGGCAATGCACACCAGTAAAGTATTTCTCTGAGGAGATAGCATCACAATTCCAAATTTTCCAGGATGATATGATCAACAGAAACAAGAATAAGACATCACTTTATATAGCTTGTAAGCTTTTGAACTTACGTGTACTGTGGCGATGTGCAGTTGGGATGTTGAGTAGGGTATGCGAACCTTCTGCTTCACAGTTGGACTCAATAACAACACTCGTTGATAACTTGAGCTTGTCATCCGCACTTTTTGGTCGGTCCTTCTCTAAGTTTAAGGTGGCAAGCGCACCAGATGCCTCATTTACTTGTAAGAAGACCTCATCACAAACATCACTTACTTGTAAGGAGGGCTCACTAGCTGTCTGATTTACGCATGAGTTGGCCTTATGAGGCTTCCCATTAAATTCTAAGGATGCCTTATCTGGTGGCTCGCTCAAACAGGAGACGGTCTCCAAACAGCTCTCATTTACTCTCATGGAGACCTTATCACGTGCCTCATTTACATAAACTGTAGAAGACCCAGTACAATGAGAAGAACCTTCAGCAGAACCACATTCAGCTGAAATATAAGCACTGTCTGTAGACGTATTGCTCATACTTGTGTGGCTACCAAGAGAACGTGTTAAGTTTTCAGATTGAGATTCTGAGTGTTTTAATTTGAATTTCTTCACTTTCTTGTATTTGGGAAGGTGTGTTGCTTTTGGCAGAGCTAACTGCACTTCATACCTGAAAAAAGCAAAACATTTATATCATTATTATGTTGTTTTAATGACAAAGTCTGGGTATTACTAGTTTGCACTATAACCCATATTCCACCCTATAATTAGTATTCTCGACACATAATGTAAGTTAATTAACACATGTGTCCCGAGGTTCTATCCAGTAGTGGCAGTACAGCTAGGTAGATTATAGTACCTAGGCTATAGATGCTTTTGCTAGGAACTGAACGATTAGTCATTTCAGACCCCTCTTTCTCAATCCCAATTAATTCTCTCACTGCGAGGCATTGTATTTGTAATTTCTTCCGCTGTGCATGACGTTAGGTCATGGCGCAATAATATGGGTCTGTCCACAGTGCAGTGTCAAAAAGTGTGACATGGAATAAAAATTTAAAAAGTC